AACAGTTTATGGAGTTGGGTATATGCAGTCTGGAGAAGAGAAGGTGAAGAGAGGACATGAGAGCCTTCTTAAAATATTTGAAAGGATGCCATATTGAAAGGGGAATAAGCTTGTTTTCTATTGCTTTACAGACTAGAGCAATGGATTCAGATTAAAGGAAAAGAGATGCTACCTAAGCATTAGGAAGAATGAAGGAGGTTGTTGTAGTTTTTTTTTGGGCTATATGGCCATGTTCTAGAGGCATTCTTTCCTGATGTTTCACCTGCATCTATGGCAAGCATCCTCAGACGTAGTGAGGTCTGTTGGAACTAGGAAAAAAGGGGGTTTATATATCTGTGGAATGACCAGGGTGGGACAAAGGACCTACAACAACCCAGTGATTCCAGCCATGAAAGCCTTCGACAGTACAACAAAGGAGGTGTTCTGGGACAAAATATTAAAAACGGAGATGAAACTAATAAAAAAATCTACCAACAATTATTGATAGGGACAACAGAAGAAGAACAGGTAAAAGAGGCGATGATAAAATGGGCCAGAGATTTAGGCAGAACAATAAGTATGTCAGATTGGGAAGAGATGTGGACAAAGAAACTAAAACTCACATATTCTACAGAATCCAAAGAGAACTGGTAAAAAATGTTCTACAGGTGGTATTTAACACCAGAAAAACTAGCAAAAATCAATAAAGGTAGAACAAGTGACAAATGCTGAAAGTGTGGGTAAAATATAGGCACTTTCATACACTTATGGTGAAAGTGCAAAAAAACCAAATCCTTCTGGCACTTGATACATAAAAAGATGGAATTAATTTTCCAGGTAAAATTTGATCTTAAACTGGAGTATTTCCCAGGAGCGATTCAAAGTGCTGAACGGTACTGTACTGTACCCAAATATGAGTAGAGACCTTAGACAGGTCCTTTAACATTTGGACTAAACGCCAGAGCAGATTCACCTCTTCCTGACATAAGAGCAACCAGCTGCCACTGATACCACACAGCACATCACTTTGATTATCATGACACAGATTTTCACACTTTATCTTAGTAAGTATAAATATGGTAAAATATCACAAACCCAGTTTCAAGTTCGACTACTCCTGTGGACTGAAGGAACCTGTTCTTTTTTGGGATTTTGTAAGGAATTTGCTGATTGAAAACAAAGTGGAGAATTATTTTGGACAAAGAAAGAGCTTAGAAACAACTGTACAATAGATGGAAGTCAACATTGAAATATTGTTTCACCAAGCAGGAAAATAAGAGGCATCCAATTAGTTTCATGCAGGTATTACAGAAATGAAGACCTCTATGCACAAAGGGGTGATAAACTTCAGTGATGGGAAGTAGGATTTTTATATCCTCTGCTTTTTAAAAACAATTAGTGTTGCAAAGGGGGCATCAACATGCAACGGAGATTGGACATATTGATAAACTTCAACTTTTGGTAGTTTTTTGAGTAATTTTCCACTAGATCAGTGTTTCTCAACCTGGGAATTGGGACCACGGGGGGGGGGGGGTCATGAGGGGGTGTCAGAGGGATCACTGAAGACCATCAGAAAACACAGTATTTCCTGTTGGTCATGGGGGTTCTGTGTGGGAGGTTTGGCCCAATTCTATCGATGTTGGGGTTCAGAATGCTCTTTGATTGTAGCTGAACTATAAATCCCAGCAATTATAACTCAAAAATATCATGGTCGATTTCCCCCAAACTCCACCAGTGTTCACATTTGGGCATATTGAGGATTTGTGCCAAGTTTGGTCCAGATCCATCATTGTTTGGATGTAGATGAACTATAACTCCAAAATTCAAGGCCAGTGTCCACCAAACCCTTCCAGGATTTTCTGTTGGTCATGGGAGTTCTGTGTGCCAAGTTTGGTTCAATTCCATTGTTGGCGGAGTTGAGAACGCTCTTTGATTATAGGTGAACTATAAATCTCAGCAACTACAACTCCGCTCCAACCTCACCAAGATTCAAATTTGGGTGTATTGGTTATTTTTACCAAATTTGGTCTAATGAATGAAAATACATACTGCGTATCAGATATTTACATTATGCTTCAAAATAGGAGTGAACTTACAGTTATAATTTTATTGTTGGGGTCACCACAACATGAGGAACTGTATTAAGGGGTTGCGGCATTAGGAAGGTTGAGAAACACTGCACTAGATCAAACTCTTTTTTAAAAAGCACAAATGTCCCTATCACCACAATACCACAAATAAAATAGAAGTGATCATGCTGAAATGAAGATAGTTAGGATAATGATGAATGAAGTTTTTATGTGGAAAGACTGCTAGCTTTTCTCATTTCTGCTCTGTGAAACACATCCCTACATTCATTCTAGGTGTATTTTGGCACAAGGCGCTGGGTTTTAAATCACAAGATTTCCAGTTTTTAAAAAAACCCAAAAAAAATCCCATTTGCGTAAATTCTGCTTGCTCTTAGTAATGTAACTCAAGGTACTTCACGTGGAAAAATGTTTTTAAAATTAATTTGGGTAAAAAGCCAAACAGAAGAGATGCAACTTGACTGTAGCATTTTGAAGCCTTCGGGAAAAAAAGGAATCGCAGTAGTACAAGAAGAGACATACAAATAGCTTGTTTGTATGATTCCTGGCCCACTGATGGCATAGTTAAGTGGATGCTTTTGGCTTCATTTTACAGATCAAATAGGCCCCAAAGTGACCTTCCATTTAAGAGCCAAACCAAAAATCAATTTAAAAAGGCAAAGCCATGCACTGACCTGGAAATAGTGATGCTTGATCAGGAATGAATGCAATTACAAGCTAATGTGCATTGCAAAAGAGCTATCCTTTTATTTTAAATTTTCTTAATTTTGTGACAGTTTTTGGTTACCATAATGTAGCATAAAGCATATTTTAGGGGAAATATTTTCAAAAATGTTTGTTTTAGGACACAGCAGTTCAAATCTGATGGCTTGTATCTGCTATATATATATATTTTCACGTCAGGAGCAACTTGAGAAACTGCAAGTCACTTCTGGTGTGAGAGAATTGGCCGTCTTTAAGGACATTGCCCAGGGGATGCTCAGATGTTTTATGTTTTAACATCCTTGTGAGAGACTTCTCTCATGTCCCCGCATGGGGAGCTGGAGCTGACAGAGGGAGCTCAACCTGCTCTCCCTGGATTTGAACTGCTGATCTGTCACTCAGCAATCCTGCTGGCACAAGGGTTTAACCCTTTGTGCCATTGGGGGCTATCTGCTAGATTAGATATATCAAATTGACTACTGAATGTTGTCAGCATTTGTGTAACTCCCACAGATACAATGGGTCTGCTCTACTTGGATGAGAAATTGGGTGCAGACTAATGCAAACAGCATGGCAGAATACTAAAGGCATATCTGAATGGTGTCACCCCCCCCCCCCCAATGATCTGCATGGATTACAGGCTGCCACCTGAAAAATAAATGCTAATTGAGCTTAGTCCTTTCCTAATTGCTGCCCTGTATGCCTTCCAGTCAAAATCAAGCCATCAATTAATACACACTTGTGTGCAGCTAATGAATTAAACAGCATGTATTGTCAAGTAAGCATTGACCAATGGGTAGCTACCATGATGGGCATCATACCCATATGGGCAAAATCAAGCCAGTAAGAAGACAACACTACAGTCAGATTCAGTGGAGTCAGGGGCACAGAAACCCTGCAGAAGTGAAAAGCTGAAAGTAAGGGGGAAAATGCTTTGTTTTAACACCAGAGTCTACATCTCCATATCCTCCAATATGACTCCATGATAAATGTCTGGCCATAGAGTTGCACTGCTGGACCTAGAAGTTCTTAGGGAGCATTTTAGTCATAACCCTGAAAAATCAAATCTTCAGATGCTCTAGTTACATCCCGTATAGACTACTGCAACGCTCTCTACGTGGGGTTGCCTCTGAAGACTGCTTGGAAGCTTCAAATGGTCCAACGATCGGCAGCCAGGTTGCTAACAGGAGCAGCACTCAGGGAGAATACAACTCCTCTGTTGCACCAGCTCCACTGGCTGCCAATTTGCTACCGGGCACAATTCAAAGTGCTGGTTTTAGCCTTTAAAGCCCTAAACGGTTCTGGCCCGACCTATCTGTCTGAACGCATCTCCTCCTATGAACCAGTTAGGATGTTAAGATCGTCTGGGGAGGCCCTGCTCTCAGTCCCGCTGGCCTCACAAGCACGCGTGGCAGGGACGAGAGACAGGGCCTTCTCAGTAGTGGCCCCTCGGCTGTGGATGCCCTTCCTACAGACATCAGATCGGCCTCCTACAGACATCAGATCAGCCTATCTGGCATTCCGGAAGAGATCAGATCGGCGTATCTGGCATTCTGGAAGAGAGTGAAGACCTTCGAACAGGCTTTCAACTAAGCAGTGATGATGATGATGATGACGACGACGACGACGACGACAACAACAACAACAACAACAACAACAGCAGCAATTATTATTTTGTTTTCACCCTACTTTTCTCCTAGGACCGGGACCCAAAGCAGCTCTCAGTTTTAAAAACTACAGTTTCATTCTTATTTCTATCCCACTATCCTCACTTGAACATCTGGTAGGAACACAGCGATGGTCCTTCTTGGTGTTGCCTAAGCATACGTTAGGGTGCAGCTCTGACAGGTAAAAGAGAATAATACCACTACAACCATATAGTGTGATTAAGTAAGCCCCGAGTGTTACAAAAGGTAGAGAATAGAGGAGAAACAACAAAATAAAAAGTTCTGGCCATTAGTTTTGGGTACAATAATGACAATGACGACAACAACAACAACAACAACGATGACGATGATGATGAGTATATCCTGCTTCATCCCCAAGATTGGGACCCAAAACTGCTTACAATTTAAAAAACAATAACATTCAAAACATACAAAAAATATTAAAATATCATGGAGGTCTGTCAATCAAATATAATGCCCCTCCTTCATTTTTGCTGAATAACATCCCTTTTAAAGTTCCTCCTTCTCTGAACATGTCGAAATATTCTTTGTTCTGAAATCTTACCAGCTGTAGTTGTTAAGTGGTTTCATCTATTCCTTCGCTTATCTTCCTAAAGCTGTTCAACATGGCAGTTATGAAGGTATTCAAGATGAGATTCCTAAGCTTCGCCATCAATTTGGAGAGAGGGATTTGGTGTATCTTCTGAAAAATTAAACTGAAAGGGAAAGCAATCATTAATAGACAAATTAATACATACTGAGAGCACAAGTCAATCATTGTTGAAGCACCAAGATTGGAAGGGCACTTAATATTTCATTTTCATAATCCTCATCATGCGTGGAACAGGAAAAAAAGAATGTAAGATGATGCCAAGAGTTTTATTTTACCTAACAGGTATAAAATCAGAGTAAAAACCTGGCTTTTCGAGCAAGTTTTTGGACCCTCATTGTAACCAGATAAACTCAGTATTGTGAACAAATATGGAATGGCTTAATGATGCAAATGGACATGGATTTAAACCTGGAAGTCATTGATTTTTATAGTTTTAAATTGTTTTATATGAATTTTATTATGTGATTTAACCTGTTTTATACTATGTATTTATGTGTTCAGCATCTAATTATTGCTAGTCTGTACGCCGCCCTGAGTCACCTTCAGGCTGAAAAGGGCGGGATAAAATTGTGGCAAATAAATAAATAAATAAATAAATAAATAAATAAATAAATAAATAAATAAATCACCCTTGCATTATTCAGACCATTCTAATATAAAAGCACTGAGAATTAGCAATTTTTAAAAAACTGAGTCTGTTAACAAGCAACAAACAAACAAACTATAGAGCTCTGATGGTGCCGCCTGCACCTCTGCCATCTTTGTCAAAAGGCATGGTGTTAACACAAGCATGGGCAAACTTTGGCCCTCCAGGTGTTTTGAACTTCAACTCCCACAATTATTAACAGCCTCAGGCCAACACAATGAACAACACAATGGCAACACAATGGCAGACCAAAAACTATAGAAATGACTGCGACTGCCCACGTTAATTTTTCCAAGCCCACTTACTCATTTTTCCCAGCCTATTTATCCATTCAAAGCCGCTTGTACCTTTTTAACATCCAGCTTACAAAAAATGTCACTTGTACATCTGCAGTTAATCAGTATTTTTTGTGTTTTTTTGTGTTAATCAGTATTTGCCAGAGATAAATAGGGCTTCACATGAAACATGAAAACAGGTACTAAGTAAGTAATCTCAAAGGATCAAACACCATATTTGCAAACCTGTTTTCAAGGTCTGGATTGTAGAACCTAGACAGTTCACTTGTGAAAACATATTTCCTGCACAAATTGATAATATCATTTTGAACTAGTTAAAATTGCTAACTACAATTGACTTGAGAACGTAAGAAGATCCCTGCCCTATAAGAGACCTGTCCAACATCTTTTCTCATTGCAGCCATGTTGATGTCCCTGGGAAGCCCATAACCAGGATACAAAAGCAATGTCCTTCTCTCATTATTACTTTCCAATGACTTGTATTTAGTGAAGCTGGAAATTCTATATAGCCATCATGACAAGTAACAAATAATAGCTTTTTGCTGTTGTTCTGTGCCATCAAGTCATTTCCAACTTACAGTGACCATAAGGTGAAACTTGAAACTGGCATGGGTTTCGTCGAAGGCTTTCATGGCCAGAATCACTGGGTTGTTGTAGGTTTTTTTGGGCTATATGACCATGGGCTTTTTCGTCATCGCGACCAGGGGCCTGGCGCACGGTTTGGCCACGACCTGAGCCGCGGCAGGCGCTCACTGTCGCCTCCATTGCTGCCGCCGCTGCTGTGACTCTGCCCATCCCTTGATCTGCTATGACTCTACCATCGCTAGCTGAGTTGAGTTGTGTTGACTGTATATATCTTCATCATTGCTAGTAATTTTATCAACTCCCGGAAGACTGCCCACCAGCAAGTCATCGTTGCCACCTTGGGCATCTCACTGTGTTGACCATCATTAATTTGTGGACCATCATCAATTTCGTCCGTGTTGATTTTCCTGATTTTATAGATCATTTTTACGATTATATAGACCATTGCCGTTTGAGTGGATCA